CAGCCCTGAGGGATCTAGCTTTCTAGTATATTCTGTAGGGTGAGTGAAGCCACCACAGGTTGGATCTCTCTGGTCCGGCACCCTTGGGACCTGACCGGTCCTGAATGGGGGAATTTGCTGGACTAGAAGAGGCCCCCTGCTACTGACTGCCTAGTAGGGATGTTAAACATCGGTTAATTGAATAGTCAAATTCTTATCGGTTACTCGACTATTCTATAGCCCCTGCTGCATAACCGGGGCTCTGGTGCTGGTCCCAGCCCCAGTCCCGCTGGGCTCCGAGCCGCCAGCCCTCTTGCCACTAGGGCTCCCAGCCAGGACTGTCTGGTCCCGGAACACCCATGATCCTGCTGGACCATGGATGTTGCCGGGTGAGGGAGTCCTGGTTTTGGGAGGTCCAACCTGTATCAAAAGGTGACTGCTTTGGTGCTTTGCCATTCGTGCATCCTAGAACGAACCACCCCCACTCCCTTACCCCTGTCTGAGAGCCGACAAAATCCAGAGCCTTAGCTGATACAGCTCTACGGCGTTAAAGACATGGTGGAGAACTGGGCTACCTGCGCATATGTATGGTGTTGAAATGGAAGGATTTCTCTTATCAGCGTGTGGCGGTGTGGGGCTGGTGACTTTTGTGGTAGCCCTGCGCAGGAGAGTGGGGGCAACATTTACTTCAGTTGTAAGTTTCACTGAGAAAGATAGGTGTACACTTGTAAACTCACTTACTAATGTTGCTGGCCCAAGGTATCAAAGGGAGACAAGCAAACTGAATTCGTTCAAACAAAAATGCCTCTTGACTCAGCTCCAGGACTAGGTGAAGACCATGCTTGGAAACAAGATCAGTGTGCAAAGCAGAAATCAGTAAACCAAAACCATTGTGTCACAAACTAGGCTGTCACCCCCTTAAAGACTTTGGGGAGACAAAGAGATACTGAAGGGAGCTCCGCCATCATGGCTGTCACCCCACCATCGCCTGTGACTGTGCGACTTTGTCCTCCTCATCCTGAGAGAGGCTCTGATCAGATCAGGCCAGAGAGGGACTGGGATGATCTCTCTGCTTCTGCTGAGTCTCCTGCACCATCTAGGACAGTGGCGGGCGACCTGCGACCCGCACACAGCACATCAGGGTAATGCGCTGGCGGGCGGCAAGATGGTTTGTTTACATTGAGCATCTGCAGGCACGGCCCCCTGCAGCTCCCAGTGGCTGTGGCTTGCCACCGATCCTGGCCAATGGGATGTGTGGGAAGAGGCGGCCTTCATGTCCCTGCAACCTGCTGCTTCCCACGGCTCCCAGTGGCTGTGAATGGCGAATCGCACCCAGTGGGAGCTGGGGCGTAGGGTGGCATGTCTGTGGACACCCAGTGTAAACAAATTGTCTCGTGGCTCGCCAGTGGATTACCTGGATGGGCCGTGGGTTGCCCACTATTGCTTTCCCTCCCTCATGGCTGCCCCCTATGCAGTGTGTTAAAATCCCGAGCCTTCGTCATCCTATCCTAAAAATGTCCTAACCAAACCAGGCCGAAGAAATAAGAGACCCAGCTGACGTCGCCACCTCTCCTACCTTCCCTTTGCCGTCTAAAATGAAATCAGACTGGAACATTAGCACCTGCTCCTCTCAACAAACTTCTGTTCTCCGCCCTCCAGAAGATAGTGATTTGCCATTTTTAAAACCAGCTGCAAATGGTCGGTCAAGAATATTTTTCCTTCTCAAAACTCTGGCTCAAAAGCAGGGCTTTTAAAAAAAAATTTACCGACAAAGTCACGTTTTATACTTTACATTGCAGACACTTTAACCGGTTTTCCTTTGTTTTTATTCAAATGGTTTAAATTTGTATTAGCATTAGCCATAATATTAAACACCCTAAACATCTCTATGTGCCAAACCTTGTGTAATATTAATCCATATCTAAATATGTAAGCAGGGGCTGAACTGTTGCTTGCTATCAGCCAGCTAAAAGGAGGGGTGGGTGTGCCCACTACAATTGTTTAGCTCTGCAAGGTAATTAACTGTTAACTGTTGATATGTAAATACAGCTCAGGAGAGAATATGAGGTGTGGCTATGTAAATCCCATTCAGCCTGGGCTGATGGAAGGTCAGTGTTGGAATGGAATGTGGAGAATTGTAAATAATTTGGGATTGTTGTGGGGGTCACTAATCATGCTACCCCTAAATGTGAGAACTGTAAAACATGCCACCAGTGCTTGCAGGAGAGACACCACCATCACGGTAAGAGGTCTCGGAGGAACAAGCCTCCCCCCTTCCAGAGTTGAGAGGACTGAGCCTGGGGGGCTTAGCTCATGTTTGGGTTATGAACTCTGTTTGTGGTGTTTTCCCCAAGTTAATGCCGTATGACTTCTCTCTGTTTCATTAAATGTTTCTTTCCTATACTCAGACTCAGTGCTTGCGAGTGGGGAAGCATTGCCTCTCAGAGGCACCCAGGGTGTGTGAATTTCCCAGATTACTGGGTGGGGGCTCGAGCCGGTTCTGTGTGAGATGGACCCCAAGATATTGAACCCGGCCCTGGTTACTGCCAGGCCTACCCGGCAGAAGGGTTACAATAATATTAACACTGTTAACCCATGTGTTCCAGCTGTACTAATACGACAAGCCCAGCGGTACGTGCTGTTAAGAGTATTGTACTGTGACAGACCTGGAGGATCAGCGGTGGGAGGGAGCAGGCCAGCCAGCAAATTGGCAGCACAGTGCAGAGAACCAGGCTCCGAGGTCATGCAGTGAGGAAGCAAGATGGCTGACTCTGAAGCGACCGTCTGCTGGGTGGGGCAGCGGGGAGACAGTCAGGTCTGAACTTCTGACTAAGTAATCACCTCAGGTCAAGGCATGTCAGGCCACCGACTGGCTGAAGCCCTCAGTCAATGGCTGGCAGCATTTCTCTGTGTTGCTTTCCTTCTCCCTGGTCTGACTGTCATTGCTGGTGCCTGTGTCGTTTCTTTGGGTAGGTCGCTCACCTCTGCCCCTGTCCTTACTGCTGTGTGTTGGAGTGTTTTCTGTTCTCTCTGTGTCTGTCATACATCCCCCTCCTCCAACCAGCCAGCACTGAGAGCAGGATGTGGTCACTTGCCCGTGAGCAAGGAGACCGAATGTGTCTATTCCTAACCCAGGTAAGTATGACCAAGCAATTCAGCCTTTTTTGGCCTCCTCGTTTGGTAGGCCCTGAGCCGGCGTCCCTGCATGATGTGCCTTTTTCCTCTTCCTACTGCTTGCTCCGTAGAAGCAGGGAAGAAAGGAAGCTGGAAGATGAACAGAAACGAAGAGGTAAAGACTGTAGAGTCTCCCCCACCCGTAGCCTCAAGATTCTGGGGCAGGCAGAAGAAACTGCCTTTGGGACAAGGCAGTATCCTCAAACCTTTCTTCAGTTCCTCCCCTCTTGTGAGACGTGGTGCACCCCAGTGAGTGGGGTATTGCACTGGGACTCCAAAGGACCTGGGGGGGGGAGTCTATCTCTGCTGTGTGACCTTAGGCATTTCACTTTGCCTTATGTGTGTCTCAGTCTCTCCATCTAAAATCTGTGACTGATGATGCTTCCTTCTTTGTAAAGTGCATGGAGAGCCCAAGATGAAAAGCGCTGTTGATAGCTATCGTAAAGCCATGACTCTGTGCTCAAGGTGTGCTTTTGGGTACCCAAGAGCCTTCTTTTCTCTTTGGACCTCTAAGGTGCACACTTATAGGGGAGGCGGGATGGGGGGTCCTTATGTCTATCAGGGCATTTTCCTTAGGGAAAGGGACAGCCATAGGACATTTTCCTTAGGGAAAGGGACAGCCATCTCTAGGTTCTGTTTTGGGGATTCACTTCAGGAACTAGACTCTCTAGTGATAACAGTTTACATCAAGAAGAGCGCATGTTTATTCTGAGTTGGACAACCTATTTGTTCCAGCAGTCTTTGCGTCAGTCTAGTAAGAGACTTAGAACGAGTGTTGGAGGCAGCTGAGCATGACCATGTCCAACTATGACTTCCCACCAGAGAGAGGAATTCCCACCAATGGCTTATTGCCCAGGGCCCCAACGTTTTGGACCCTGGGAATCTGATTGTGCCTGCTGAGTTGGACAGTGAAATCTCCCTGTCCTGGGGAGGACAGGGTACAGTTTCTTCAGGCATCATCTCCCATGGAAAAAGCCTTATGTTGGCTAGGATCCAGAAGAATTGCTTGATTGGTTTGCAAGAGAAACTCCAGAAGAATTTTTAAAAAATGCACTTCCAGAAGGAGAAATAGCAGAGGGGGAAGTATACGTGATGGCATCTCTGCCTGTTTTGGTGGAGTTCAAGAAAGGATTTAAACGAGGGATGTGAAGGACTAGTCGACTATCTGATAAGCAAATGCTTATTGGATGGTTGACAGGACAGTCGAATAGTTGCTTCCCCCCCTTGCTGCCTCTATCAGATAGAGGCAGCAAGGGCAGGGGAAAGGAGGAGGTACTCAACGCAGCGCTGCTGCTTTGAAATGCTGTGTGCAGCCCAGGGCCAGGTGGGGTGTTCCCAGGCTGCACGCGACGTTTCAAAGCAGCAGCGCCACGTGGAGCCCAGATCAGTGGGGGACTCCCCAGCTGACCCTGGGCTCCGTGCAGCGCTTCTGCTTTGAAATGCCACGGAGAGCCCGGCATCAAGCAAAATACATCGACTATTCGATTAGTCAATTAGTCGATATTTAACATCCTTAATTGAAACTGGGCCCCTCGAATGCCCAAGTTGTGACATTATCCACTGGACCTTGCTCTCTTCAGCTGTGTATGGAGGTTGCCGGATTGGTCACCTCTGGCTCTGTTACAGCTGGCCTCCTCCACTCTCAGTGCTGCTTGGCTGTAGAATGGGGCGGCGGCAGAAATGGAGAGATGAATGACAAGGAGAAATAACTGACTGTTTACTTTACTTGTCATAGTCCTCCTCTTCCCAATCCCTCTGTCCAGCTTGTTTGTGGAGCGTGGGCTTTGCCATCTTCTTCCTCACACCCCTGCTTTTGGCAGTGATCAAAAACTGATGCTTAAGAGAGCGATGCAAAACCTTCCTCCATGTACGTAGCCAAATGTGCAGGGGGTTGAGCTCCTTCCTAAATGTTCAAGGAAGAGATAAGGAAGCAATGTGGCTCTGGACTGTGTTTTCCTTAAATGACAGTCTTTTTTTGCCTTCTTGCTTCCTGGGAGGACAAGACAATTCAACTGACTGACTGCCTAGGATGGGGGAAGAGAACAGCTATAACCAGTAGGTAACTCTTTCTTTCTGTGTTTTCCTCTTGTCCCCATGTTAACCCCTTTGTTTCTGTCCTTGTTTTTTGGAAAGTTTTGCTGGGAAACGCACAAACAGCTTCTTCTACGTTCCACTCTAGTTTATTTTTTTCATGCTCCTCTTATAAAACACTTGTCATTCAAATAAAATAAAACAAATCTGGTTGGTAGGTTTTCATTGAAGAACATTTTTTCATGGGAGTAAATAATTTTCATTGAAGCTTTGTGGGGGTTTTTTTCTATGGGAAACAAAAGACTGAGTGCAAAGCTAAGCACCTGCTTACCCACTTTCCTAAATCATGGCCTTAATTAATAAACTTGAGTCAGCCATCCCATTTTATTTAACTTTTTAAAATAATCTGTTTTCATTTTCCTGTACAAAAGAAGACAATCAGGTATGTGTAAAAGAAATCAACCCCCCTTAATAAAATGGTTACAGCTGAAAAATGATGACAGTCTATTTCTCTATTGCGTCATTTACAGAAGTCAAGTACTTAAAAGGAAGAAAATGATGGCTTATGCAATAAACCACATTATTCTTAGTGGGTGTCAAGAAGCACACATTTTATCATACCACAAGGAGCTTAGTTATGATGTCAGCTGTTTCAGCTGGTTATTTGATAACTGAAACTCCTTGGGAGTGGGAAGGTATTAAATATACAAATTATATATGTATACTTTAATGCCACATAGGGATCAGTTCAAATACCAATCGACTTGCATAATGAATTGTGATTTCATGCCATCAGGAAACAGTGTTTCCTAGTGGATAGAATATTGGGCAGGAACTCATGCGATTTGGGTTTTGGTTCCAGCTCTTGCCATAGGTCTGTTGGGTGACATTTATGTGCCTCAGTTTCCCCACTGTAAAACAGGGAAGTTTCCCCACTGTAAAAAGAGGGGAAGGTGATATTGACTTCCTTTGTAAAGTGTTTTGATGTCTACTGATGAAATATGTTAGGAATTACAATTGTCATGACTACACTTTTGCCTATTTTAAGCTACACATACATACATTATTCTCAAGGAATCACAATTATGGAAAAGTAAATATGACAGTCAGTGACGACGTATATTTTCTGTTGATTGATAACACTTATCATGCAGAACACTTTTCATGAATTGATCTCAAAGCACTTTACAAATGTGGGTAGGCTTTATCCTTCTCCCTTTACAGATGGGGAAACTGAGGCACAGTGGGGTCAAATGACTTGCCAAGGGTCCCACATGCTGAGCCAGTGCACAGATGAGAATAGAATCCTGGGGTCTTGATTTCTAGCTTGCTCACCGGGTCATAGGACCATGTTTAATGTATCTACATTTTTAAAAAATTAGAAACTGAAATAAGGATAACAAACAGGAATAATATTATAAAAACACTTGAAAAAAATCCCTTGGATTTCAGGTTGATGGGGTGTGATGAAACATGATTTTCTTTGGGTGGAAATATTTTGCTTGTTAAGCTGGAGGTATAAGGTTAAGGGGGGCCTTTTTCTTTTCATTTTGTTGGCCTTTTAAACAGTTTGAAGGGGTTGGAAATGGTGTGATAACATTATCATTACTTAGTGACTAACAGTTCTGGGCTTTTTTTTAACCAAGCTTTTTGTGTTTGGATCTGGATTTTTTTTTTTACTGCCTTCTTGAATGCTGAGAGATGAAATACTGGGAGATTAACTCCTCTGGTGTTTCAGTGAATGAATAGTGGAAGTATTTTAAGACTAACAGATCTGAAACTGGTATGCTGAGGTGCCCCTCAATCCCAAATAAAATTCATGGGATGGGTCCCAGATCCAGGCTTCAAAGACCCCTGGACTTTTGGAGCCTTGATCATGGTAGGTAGGAAATTTGGGAACCAACCACAACCATATCTCCCCTTTCCCATCCCAAATACCATGTTGTGTATGGTAGGGTTGCCAGGTGTCCGGTTTTGAACCAGACAGTCCAGTATTTGAGCGTTCTGTTCGGGAAACAAATTGAGAAAATAGAAATGTCCAGTATTTTCTAAATAAGATGAAATGTAGATTGTGACGTAATGTCAAGCGTGTCTGGTATTTTCGTTGAAACCATCTGGCAACCCTAGTGTAAGGGGGTTTCAATGGAAACATTCCTCCTCTGTACTGCTAAGGCCTGTTAACTTTACAAGTGATAGAACAGGAATCCTGCTTTAACTGGGTTTAGGGTTGCCAGATGGTAACCCTAAAAAGAGGGAGACCAAAGTTGTTGAGCAAAAAAAATTAAATAAAATAAAAAACCAGCATGGTCCCTTTAAGAAATGCTTTTGAGGCATTTTGGCCTTAACAGGCTGCCAGGAGCCGGCTGCCATCTTGTCTTCCTGCTCCCGGCTAGACAGCTCCCCTGCAGAACCAGGTAAGCATCTGGTATTTTCACCTCCTGGCTGGAAAAAAAATCAGAAAATACCGGACATTTTAGGTGTCCAGTATTTTCTGAATTTTTATACAGGATAGGAGGCAAAAATACCGGACTGTCCGGGTTAGGGTTACCAGGTGCCTTCAAAAAAAATACCGGACACACCTGATCTCAGATGGAGCGGGGGGACTGGCCGGGAGGGGAGCGGGGCTGGCCAGGAGCAGGTGGGGGAGGGAGGGAACCGGCTGGCGGGAAGCAGGGCTGGGAGGGGGTGTCGGGGGGAGCGGGGCTGGCCAGGGGAGATCGGGAGGAGGAGAACCAGCTGGTAGGAAGCAGGGCTGGGGGGTGGAGGCTGACCCCACATGGTCCAGATGAAGGGCGA